ACGTTGGGTAAGGGCAAAAAAACTGTTATATATAATTAAGGACATTGCTTAACACCCTATGCATGAAAGCTACGAGACTGGTCAGAAAAATGGCATGTGTCTTCTGAGTGAATTGCTTGATATTTTCACTGCTGAATGTGACCTTAAAGGACATTTCTAATGTCCGTGACGGTCTAGTCGCCTGGTCTCTTATTTCACAACTTACCATGATTGATAAAACAAAAATATAACGGTTTCCTGAAAGTGTCATTCTTTTTCCTTACCATGTTTTAAAACTCATCAGTCTGCTTTATTTTGGAGTGAATTGAATGGAAATGATAGTAACCGTTAGAATGATAATTTCCCCTATTTTGGTATTTGCCTATGGAAGCTTTAGAGGGAGAAAGAGATTTGCAATTTCATTTGGTCATAAAGGGGAGCCAGTAAATTCCAAGAGCTAAATGCTGGCTTACAAATTTCTGCTCTCATCTTCCATGTTATTCCACTTTAATGCTTTAACCCTAACCCCCAAGGGTGTATGTAAAATCGTATTAAAATTGGAGGATTTGGGACTGTTATGGTTAATAATATATTTATGTATTGTACTGTATACATGTACATGTATTTTTAACTTTTGTTGGTTCATTGACTTAAATCTTCTTTTCAGTCACATGATTTGCTGTTGGTGGATTCTCATCGGATTAAGGTGCTATGTCTGAATGGAAAAGGTGGCACCAAGAAGAAGATTGCAAAGCTCCAGGCTCATCTAAGCCATCTTGTTGCATCTAATGTGTCATCTAACGGTAACATTATACACCTTGCAGTTTTACTGTGTTAGTGTATTTACTTGTACAAAAGAAGTAACTCCATGTTGCAATAGGCTGTGTGGAGTAACCTTTTCAGTTGAAATATGCCCAATATTCACACTAAATAACAAGGACTGTTGATAAATAACAAAGTTAATAAAAAGGGAAGAATTTTTTGCAGTTTGCTCAATATTTCCTAAATTCAAACTACGTGAACCCTAACCCTGGGGTGTATGTAAACTCATATTGAAATTGCAGGATTTGGGACTGTTAGGGTTAATGCTGTACGTACCAAAACTTCATTTTAATACAAGTTTAGGAACGGGATCCATACAGCCTACTACTACGGCCTGCTATGAACTGAGGTATACAGGAGGCATACAAAGGATTTCTTTCCACTGGAAATACTGCCAATTCTAGAAATTGGAAATGGCTCATAACAAGCTTAGAAAGCTTCTTATTGCAATGGGGATTGTCATGTACCTAGTGTATAGATAATCCTTGCATCAATACTAATACAGATCACTCCTCAACTTAGTCCTCGGTTGAACAGTGTTCCCCCTTCTCTTTAAAATTGTCAGATTTCCAAAGATAGGAAAAGAAAAAGAAATAGTCATAGTTGGGAGACGCTTTTTTACTATCAAGTGGGAGGTCAGGGTCTTGATCCCTTGTTTGTGCTTCAGAAGAATGCTGCTTTTTTTGGAGTGTAATTTACATGTAACTCTGTTTGTTTCTATGTAGGTGCATACCTGGTCTGCCTCCTTGAGAGTGGTAGCCTGCTCATTTACAACAAGGACACAGACACACTGAAAACGGTTCCAGGAATTGATCAAGTTGCATCCCTTAAACCAAGCTCATCTCATAGCAAGGATGCCGATAAAACAAGACGTGAGACAACTACATGTAGTTAGATTGAATTTCAGTCCAGAAATTGGTAAAAAAAATTCCTGATACATGTATGCTAAAAGATGAAAACTGGTAGTACGCCTGAGCTTAGTAAGTAAAGTTTCAGAACATGGGCAAAAAACCAATTTAAATTTGTCTTTCTACTGTTCAAAGCTTTTTAACAAACTGTTTTACCATGGCATATCAAAGACTGGCTGATTATTTTGTTAAAAGTTATGTGACAAGTCTTTAACCATACTGCCCAATCTGGTGTGCAAAGCTGTTTTCAGGTTTTGTGTTCAACCCTATTATTTCACTCAGTCTCAAGGCAATGAAAATTAGATAATTTTTTACATTTAAAAATTATTACATCTATCAGGTGAAGTGATATCCAGAGCTTGCAAAATTGTTTGACAAGTTGTCTTCAATTACCAACAGGTTCACCAGCACCTCTTGTCTTCATTTCAAGTGATGCCACTTGTATCTTGGTCGTGATTGGCCATAGGCAGCTCTTCTTGTGGGAAATTGACCAATCAATGACGTTGTATTCTACCAAGCAGCACATTCTGAAAGGAACCTGGTCATGTGTGGACTGTGAGGGTGCTGTACTGCCAAGCGCAGAATGTAAAGAGACTGCTGTACATGCTGTGTTCTTCAGAGATTCCGTAAGCAATTGAGATCGTATCATTTAACAGTGTTTGCATAATAAACAGGTAAAGACAAAATATGTGCAGGTAGTCATTTGCTTTTCAATTTAATATCTGGTTAATGAAATCAATAATTGTACTGCGTCTAAAAACCTCACCTAAATTATGAATTGAAATCTAAATGCAAAGTACTTTAAATTATCTCCTGTTTTATTTTCTGCCATGATGTAGAGTACATGTACATTCTTAATTTTCAAATTGTACACATGAAGCAATTTTCAAGCAGTACAGAATTTGCAATTATATTTCTTTGTGACTTTGATTGCACATGTACCAGGTTCTTGGATTGTGCTGTGTATGTTCGTTTGTATTCAACCAACATTCCAATGTCCAGATATCATCTGTATTTCTTCATTGGTTGGAACCATTTCATTTATACACAGTCAGGTGAGTCCTGCATTAAGAATGATGTTTTTGTTTTGGTCTTAGATGAGATGTATCAGGGTGCATCCAAAGCTGTTGTCTAGAGCTAGATCAAGGTCTTCGCTCCAATGGAAATACATGCTCCATTGGAGAGACGCGCAGACAGTAGACCTAGCCATAGTTCTGGAAGCCCGTTTTGGATACAGTCTTAATGTATATGTCACTAATATTGTTAATCATTATAAGCTCAAAGCAATTTTGCCTGCATTTTCAAGGATGAATAGGTAGAAAATGCTAAAGCATTTGACATTGGATGGGTGAAGAGGGGCTTTTTTCAGTAATGTACACTGAAACATAGTATCCTAGAGATGGTGTGATGGATTTTACCTTTCCCTTTTCTCTGAGTCATCGACTTTTTATTTACTGAAAGAAAGTGAATAGTTTTGTCATTTGAAGGTTATATTTTTGCTATGATTTCCAGCCAACCTCGCTTCACTGCCCAGTGGTCATCCCTCTCCCATTCTCTGTCCAATCTCTCGGCATCAGCTGAACCTGTGCGGCATCATGGAGCTTACCTCACTCGCCATGCTAGCAGTGGTCATACTCTGGCTGTTGCTGTCAATCAACGATATCCTACAGACACAAGGGTATTGTTTGTATCTGTCATGGGATCGACAGCCATCAGTATCAACATGAAGGGATGTGGATGTCAGAAAGATATCGGGAAAGAGAAAGCAAGGTAAAACGTGTCATGGTTTGTCTTGTAAAAATATGGGTGAGGAAGACATTTTTTGGTTCTAAGGTTTTCTTCCTAGATTTTTTCCCTCCTTTTCCTTTGAAGTCTAGAATGTAATGGAAATGACAAACAAAGCCAGCCTGCTGTATTGCCTGAGACAACATCTCTCCTTTCTTGGTGCGCTTACATGTGTAGATTCCCAAGTCTAGTAATAAAAAGTGCACAGTATCCATTCAAAGCAAGTGTCTTCCTCTTGTCCATGTGTCTAGGCAACACTGTTAGAGGTGCTTTTTGCATTAAAGGCCATTGCATATACATACATTTTCCAAAACAGCTTTGTTTGTGAAATTATTAATTGTTAGAAAGTAAGCATGCTGGAATACGTTCCTTGGAAAACAGGTTTATTGCCTTGATTGTAATAATGAAAGTATTCTGATTTGATTATTGTTTAATACCCAGATCCTATTGGTTAGCGGATTTAGCCTGGACTCCAAATGATTTATTCCTAGCCTGTATTACCAAGCAGGGTTGTTTGACGATACTATCGCGTCTTGGTGAAGCTGTTTTAATTCAGAGCTCAGGTTGTTCCATTGAGCATGAACCTGCATTCTTTCTACCATTCCATCCTCTTGTCACTTTCATGTAAGTCTACTCTTTGCATTGTGTTTATTCCAAGTCAAATAAACCAGTTAACCAGATTTTCCTACCCAAAAAAACTGCTGGGGCTGGTTTTTTCACCCACAATTTTTTCAACCTTGCAATTGTACTTCGACCCAACTAAGCATAACACGTTAATACATGTGTACGCCTACCACGAAAATGAGAAAAAGAATTTTTAAATGAGTGTACACGTCCTCCCGGGTACAAATAAGGAAAAGTATGTGTGTTTGCATGTCATCTGGCATCAAGTGGTTAACTTACTTTTTCTTGGTTTCAAAATATATTGGCAAAAAGTGAGAGGTCATTAAAAATGGACATTTTTTTTTAACTTCAATATTTTACCGGTAAAGACATAAATCAAGTGTTGATGGAAAGTTCAGCTTTATCTTATCAACTGGGGGCATATCTTATTGATTGTATAGTTCAAAAATAACATTTAATATCTGATTGGCTTCAGCATTTTTATTTCGTACTCTTCAGGAACTTCTGGGGGTTACATACGATATTGACAATAATTTATAAAAATTTTGCCTTTTGTTTTCTTGATAGCCCATCTGCCAAACACAGAAGTTCATCATTTACTGGTAAGACAAGGCAAGAAAATCTGTCACCAACAAGCTCACTGAGATCAGAAGCTGATGAGAAACGACAGAGGTACTCTTTGGCTACACACCCATCCTTGCCCCTTCTGATGCTCTCTGATGGTTACTTGGTCACTGTCATAGAGCTGCCTAGTGATTTGTCCTGTACTTGTGTGGTGCGAGACTTTCTTAGTGAAGGCAGGACAGCAGTTAATCTGCTCCTTGAGAGACAAGGTTTGGAAGGCAAGCGATTGAGGAGTTTGTCCTCATTACAGCTTAAGAAGACTATGAATGGCAGTGATGGTCTGGTAACACACTTGTCTCAAAGAGCTGTTGCTGTTTTGAGTAACACTGGACAACAGACTTCAACCCTGACAAGGGATGGCTTGCTTAGCACAGCAGGCAGTGACTTCGCTGATTATGCTGGTCGCTTCAGTCATGTGGAAGAAGGACAGTTTGTGTATAGTGATCCCAATGAAATGCAAGGAACTCGAGAAATGTCACTGATGGGAAGTGATGGAGTAGCGGTGATCGTTAGTAGGGCACAGAGGGCATTGTTAAGTGCGTGGGGACTAGCTGTGTCTCATACAGGAGAGTGGAGCTGTAAACTGGAAGACTTACTTCAATATACAGCTCAAACACTTGTCAAACTGTTCACTGTCATGTTACAGACAATCCGATACAACTTCAACAGTAGGGAGCAGAGATATGTATCAGTACTGTATGATATCCTTATTGTCTTTAAAGCTTCCACTTCTGTTCTGCACTGGGACATAGCCAGGCATCATGGACTCACTGCTACCTATAAGCTCATCAGGGGTACTGTACGAGCCATCTTGAAGCATAGTGGGCACCATAACTTGACCACTGCTCCTCGGTCTTGCGTCAGTATTCTGCAGTACTGTGAGAAACTTTTGAGCAATGTCTATAGCTTGACAAAAGTTCAGCAACCAACGTATGGATTCCACCTGCATCCTTACCATCAAGCAGATATTGTAGAGGGCTCCCTCATGTGTCAGGAGAGCTCCAGGATTAGGGGAACTATGGACATAGATCATCAGGTGACATTAGTGACCACGAGGCCAGAGCAACCAAGAGGAAGTCGTGAGTGGAGGGAGCAAAGAAGGGAAGTGGGACATCCAGGCATTGTAGTCAGACACTCACCTGCTAAAAGGTTAGAGTATCTGAATGACTAATCGTGTTTCTTGGTAATCAGTTTCCAGACCTATCACCCACTAAGTTCCTTTTCTCAATCCAGCAATGCCCTTGCCAACAGCACTGTCCTCCACCCCTCCTTTCCCTTCCCCTCCCCTGCCAAAAGAAGAAAAGTTGAATCTTGCATTCATTTTCAGCTTTCTTGATTTGTAACATCTTGTCCACAGCATTCTATAATTAAAACCATTGAGAATAAGCTCTGTGCCCATTGGTTTGGACATGTAACATACATGTAGCATCACCAATTCCACTGAGCTCGTATTCCACCAATCCAATCCACTCCAACAAAACACTAACTGCTAAACTGAGAACTTTCTTGGTAAATGCAAGTGCAACAAATTCTAGATCTTTACAAATGAACCGTGCAGTTTAAAAAAAAACTTTGATGACACAAATCCATCCAATTATCCGAGGTCCAGTTTGGGCAGTCCGCTCTTGACACAGGTTTGTTGCTTTTGCACTTGAATGGTAGGAATGAGACCCAAGAACACTGTTTTTGGAAAAAGATCACCCACCACCTCCTTGTCAGGGTGTTGCACGAACATATGGAAAAACTTGTGAGATTTTGGCTTTTGAACAGCTGCAACTACATGTATATCGATGTCTTACAAAGCTGCAGACTGGGATTTTTGCAAATTAACATCAATAATTTTCCGTAACGCAGAAATGAATGTTCCCTTCTAAATACAAAAGAATTCAGCCCAGTTATCCAAACATTAAACCTTGAAGAATGTACATGGATGCCGCCATTTGCCATGTTGGATTTTGTTTGCCAATATTTATCAGCAGTAATTACATGTACAATGTAGTTGTATGTTCCTGGAGATCAAATGGCCGACCCATGAACAACGAAGCGAGCTGTTCATGAACGTTCAAGAACAAGTCGCCCGGAGTCAGCCGACTGTACATGTAATTGTGACTTGATAATGTGTAAGCATAGACTGACATTGATTACATGTTTACCTTTGTAATCTATTGACTGGTGTAGGAATAAACATCTGGGTGATGAACTGTTAACCTTAGACAATATCCGATACAAACATTTTGCTCTTTTCTATGGATGTGTGTCATCCCTGTACATGTACATAGAGAATCATGAGAACATTGACACAGGAAATGCACTTTCTGTAAATTAAAAAAAGAAAGATTTTAGCTATGGGCCACAGAATTGCTGTTTTGGGGCAGTGCTGTCTGTGTTTTGGGAACCACTGTCTATTATTGTGGTCAACTTGGAGTCAACAATCTGGAACCAGAAAAGTATAGCTCATATCACGATTTGAAACGAACCACTCTCCAAGCCAGACATGAGTCTGGACTTCATTTTGCTTGTATGGTCTCAATTGTTTTCTATTTGTGTGTTTCCCAGTTTTAAACTTAACCCTAACACTCCCAAATTCTCCAATTTTGATACGATTTTACACACCCCCTAGGGGGTTAGGGTTTAAGGGCAAAGAAAGCCATTAGTTTACATGTACCTCCGTGTAATGCCTTGACTTTGACTTGAAGTGGATGCAATTACTGGCCATCCAGGTTGGACAATGAATGTACATTTTCTCACCCATGTAACCCTTATCTGCGTAGCAGAGTTCTTAGTGCTCGGAAAAATTGGATAGTTAGATCGCCATTTCAAGATTTTGTTTAGTCATGACATTGTTCTTGTATACTGTACATGTACATCGTACATTCATTACATTGACGGAAATGCACATTGCTTGCAGTGTGTGGGATCATATGACCATGCAAAATCACTATTTAACCACCCAGTATTTTATAGCCACATACGCACCCCATATGCTTACCATATCTTATGGTCCCTACTAATATTGTTGGATAAAGTAGGTGGGCCAAATGTCATGTTATCAGGAACTCAAGGTAACTCCATCCTGTGGTTAAGGAAATGGTGATAACAGATTGGTGGACCGGATTGAAGCTTGGACCTTTGTTGGATTGGCAAGCCACCTGCAAGTCACCACATTGACCAGCAGAGTGGTGATTTTGAAGGACCATTCATGCCATAAGTTTGCATGAAATGGTTTTATTAGATCTGATTGGTTTAAGAGTGTCTTATCAGAATACCCTGTAACTTCATGTCAATAGAGTGTTGGTCAGTAGTGTTTAGGTCAGTAGTGTTTATGCCGGTAGCATAATTTACTTTAGAGCACATTTTAAGTCATCATGATCTTGAGATTTGAATCGTTGCATAATGAAGTTTATGCTATCTGTTGGTTTTAAAAATATGGTGGAAACAACCTGTTCAAATGAGATAACTTTGCTGTAAGCACTAAAACTGGTAGAGGGACACCTGTGACTCACTACCCGTAGTTGGGTTTTTGTACAAGTAATAAAACTATCATTCCACCATTTTTTTTCTGAAGACTGCACTTGATTAACAATACAAAAAATCTGTTTAACTCAGTGTCTTTTTCAGTGTTAAAGTTTAATCTTTTAACTTCCAAGTGTACACGTACCTTTATAAATATGTACATACTTGTGCTACTTGTTTGTGGAGACACAAAATATACGGTAATTACATGTAGCACATTCGTATGAGAAAGCAAACAAGTTTAGACAGTTACATTCTTCACTGTAAAGGACTCACAGACTGTTAAAAGTGTTGTTGTATAGTCTTCTTCTGCACCGTAAGTTGAAGAAGATGGTGTTGGATTTATAATGTTGCGCCCACAGATTCTGAAATGCTTTGTCCATGTATATTTATGTAACTTACAAACAAAATCCAATGTTGATAATACACCTTTATCATATTAAAAATTAATCAACAAGTCACCTGTAACATTTCAGACTTTTTCTCGGAGAGCTTACCCAAACATGCCAAATTTGTTACATGTCGAAAACTGCAAAATAAGGGAGTGTGAGGGCATACACATGGCTCGGAACTTTAGTTACTACCGGTATGTACATGTATGGTACATTTTACATGTACATATGGGTAATGGCAGATCAGGGAAAGGGGGGGGGGAAACAGGGTCAGACCCCGCCCCCAAAAAAGAGCCAAAGTGTTTTGTTTGAAAAAATGATGGTCTATTTCATGTCCCTTTAAAAGTGTCAACCCCCGTCCCCCTAAAAACCTCACCCCACAGAAATGCCATAAAAAGATACATGTAATAGGAAAAAATTCAAATTATTTTGTCCCCCCAAAAAGAGAAGTTTGACCCCCCCTTGAAAATGTGGTCCTGTATCTGCCCTTGTGTTTGAATTGCTGTTCACTAATTTGCCACAAATATTTAGGGGGTGGGGGAGTGCATGGTAAAATCGTACCAGTAAAAACAGTGTAGCCCATATGATGTGATGTTGCACTGGCTGATAAAAGCCAGAATTTGTGGGTGAGCTTTGTTGATTAACACTTTAAGAATAAAATTTTTCAAATACAAAATAAAATTAAGTGCGTCTGTTACACAATAAGTTAAATTACGTTCACAGCTACATGTAGTTAATACACACTTGTTCATGGAGCAAGGACCAGCCTATCTCGCATTACCTTCATTGTTTAGAGAACAACATACGTCAAAGTGAAAATGCTTATATACATTATATTTAGAGACTAAATACTAAAAATCTAAGCAACAAGAAAACATACCAAAATTAAAATAATAAACAGAAAAAGAAAACAAACATACAGACAAACTCTCCCGTCAAATTACGCCCGTATGTTTCTTTCAGATGCGTAGAATTATTGGTGTCAAGTTGGAATGTGGTTCTTAAAGCCTGGGTATTCTCGTTGTATGACAAGGATTTTGAAAAGTTCCCCGGAAGTGGGAAGAGCTTGGCAGTGAGACCTTGAGCCTTGCTGCCAATTCCAATTTCATCTACAAGAAGTAAAATGTTGTTTGATATACTTCAGATAACCTGTTCTTGGCTTTGATTTAAACAGCTGCCTCATTTGAAACATTTTCATAAAGGCCGGTATCGTCAACTTTCCTTATACCTAATAACAACTGATAATCAGGTTTCTCAATGTCCATACTCTGTCGATCTAGGCATTGGTAAACGTCTTTATTATTGTTCTTTGTTTTGAATGGGTTCTTAACCTTCTTAAGGAGAGGAGATTTACTTTCCTTTACAGGTGGTGTCTTGACATTTATTTTGTCCAAATTTTGCTGTGATACACTAGGAACAAGATACTGGTTTGTGGAATCATCTTGAGGCAATGATATCCTGGCAGCTCTTTTCTTTAGACTTTGCTCACTGTCAGAAGAGCTTGGTGGGTCTGAATGACGATTGGGTTTCTTCTGAGCCACTGGAGGTAGCATTCCTTTCTTGAACAGAGGAGAGGAGGATTTTCCAGTGGCCTTTTCAAAGTTGTTGATTCTCTGATGGATGTTATTTGTCTTTGGGCTATTATTATCTTTTGGAATGTCGTATACAGGGGCTTCTTTGGTGCTTCTCACCATCATATCACATGTATCATTAGGGACAGCATATTCTGGTTGCTCCTGTGACAGAAGAGGAGCTGAAAAATTTCGTGTTAATTTGGGGGATGATTTGGCAGAAGTCGGGGAAGTTTTAATCAGGTTGACGTCAGAGGTAATTTTAGTTAGTTTTGGTTTGTTTGAGCTATTATCCTTTGCAAGAACTTCGTAATCATTTGTGTCATCATTATCGCTTAGAGCTGGTGGTGAAATCTGCTGTTCATTTACCCTTTTGCTGATGTTCTCCTTTGAGTGGTGTTCTGTGCCAGATGCCTCTGGAGAGTGGATGTCAGTTTCTTCTTGAAGCTTACTTGGCTTCGATTTAATGGCTGGTTTAGGGTTGTTTTTCCCTTTGATTTTGCTGAGGTCATCAGTAGAGCTGTACACATAGGTGTCTGGATCGTCAGATTTTGAGCTCATCATGTATTCATTGTCAGATACATGTGTGTCATCATTGTCATTTGATGCTACCATGTAATCATCATCGTTTGACTTGTCAAGGCTTTTCATTGGAGAATAGTGGGCATTGTTGGTAGCAGCAGCTTTCTTGACTGTTATGCTCATGTCAAGATAATGGCTGTCTGATCGGAAGCCAGTCTCAGTTACAACTTCCACTTTTCCTTGCTTTGATTCAGATTGGGATACTAGATTAAATGGGGTACTTTCTTGCATGGAAGATTCCTTTACTGAGCTGTTGGATACTAAACATCTTCTACACTTGTACCAAATGATGATATTAATGGCAACAAGTAGAAAAAAACTTCCAACAATTAAACCCAAAATTAAAGCCATGAGGCTGTCAGTCATAAGTTTCTTCCTGCCAGGGTCCAATGTGTCAATTTCCATGACAGCTGCTCCACTGAAGTTGCCAAACATGGTAGCAACGTGGCAAGTTACTACACTTTTATTATCTTGGGCAGTGACGTTGCGAATGTGAAGTGCTTGTGCCTCAGTCTCAACAAAGAAACGGTCTTTGAGATCTTCTGGCTCAATCAACTGATCGTTTAGATGCCAGTTAATCTCAAATGGAATATTACTGGTCACATGACAGAAAAACGTGTACATTTGTACACATGACTGGTCAGTGCTTGCAGACTGAACGATGACGGTTGTGGTGGTGTTAATAGAACAGGTTCTGATCTCATCAATGGGGTCAGGTAGTGTCATTACACACATGATAACAGGGTCGTATATTTGGTCCATATCCACTGAGGTCATAGTGGTCTCAAGGTGAAGTAATTTGTTGTTGTTGAGTTTATGGAGCTCAGCTGGTAGTTGATAATCTCCACTAAACCATTCTAAAGTCACTGGAGGCTGACCAATAAGAGATTCACAGACCAACATCATGCCATGGGTAAGTGACTGACCTGCAATGACTGATGTTTTGCATACAGGATAGACATCAGGTGGGGGAATGACTGGTTGAAGCTTGACTAAAGCTTGAGATATGAAGAATCGACCAGATTGTGGGCGGATCAATGCACAACTGTATTGACCACCATCAGAGGAAGTGATGTCTTTAATTATTAGTGTATACAAGCATCGTAAGAAACCTTCATTGTTCACTCTTGACTGCCATCTGATGCCATATTTTGATGAATCGATGACATAGGTCATGTTTGCAATGTTATCACCACCTTTTTTCCCCCAAAAGACAAAAGTGTCATCACAGGAGAATCCTGGGTCGGGAGTGTAAGAACAAAGAAAGTCTGCTCGGTCACCAATCAGAACGTTCCTGCGAGTCGGTGTGACAGTAAGCTGGACAGAATTTGTTGATCGGATAAAGATGGAGAGAGAAAAGATGAGGAAAACTGCCGAAAGCTGGGGTCTCTGGATATCCATAACGCTTGCTGTTACGGCCCAAAGGATCTGTAGGAATTGAAAGCACAATAAAATAAAAAGCAACTGAAAAGTTTTGTACTAGAAATATCACGTTGCTGTTAATGAAAATGCTTGAAAATTTTCTTTTGTGTGCCATATCTTTTTGTGTGTTATCAAAGATTGCATTTTTAATTTGAGATATTCTCAATTTACCAGTTGCTCATAAAAACATTGGTTTTTCTTGGAATAACATTAGATAAGTTGCAAAGACATACATGTGGATGTATATGCATACATGTATTTAAATTTGGTTTATTGATAATTTACATGTAATGTAGATGTCAGTCTTTGTAGGTTCATCTGCTGTGAAGTTTAACTTGCTTTCCTTTAAGATATGTATAACATCAAATTGGAAAAAATCTAGAAAGTAATAATGGTTTGAAAGCTGTAAATTTTAAAGGAGATAAATTCCAAGAAAAAGGCTTCCTAATTCTGATAAAAATTCCTGAAGGGATCACTGAGCTGGGCCCAATGTTATGGCGCTGCTTACCGCAGAATTCGGCACTTATGATCTCCATTCTGTGCTAAGTGCGCAAGCAGAAAAATTGTGCGCTAACCCTTTAAGCAGAGAATCCTTAGTTACTGGATGTACACATGTGCACAAGCCAAAATTCCTTGCTAACCCATGAAGTACGTTCGGCGTTAGCACAGAACTTTTTGCTACTGTAAACACCAATTTTTCGCTTACGGTAAGCAGCGCCGTGGAATTGGACCCTGTTCAAAAGTGTCAAAACTGATAAAGCCATTTTGAAGCAAACATTGAAGGAACAATATAACTACTGTAACTCATAGAGCATAATGGAAACTTACCAGAAACTGGAAGCTTGAGTTTTTGTATACTAACTTAACCTTCACACATCCAGAAGATGTCCTGGCTGATGAGGATCAGTCAAGAAAAGAGAATTCCAGTGTCATGAAATTCGTTGCATCCATAGACAGAACTCAGTTTGAGACAAAAATTGATGACAGCATTTACATGTAGGTTTACATCTTATGCACGAGCAGTGCAGTGATAAGTAAGTGATCTGAGATAGCTCGTGGTTTACTAGTCCTGTGTTCCCATCAAAGATCTCCTTTGTCATCCACTTCAGAGTTCTTTAAGTTCTCTCAGTCATCAGTTAGCTCAATGGCCTGTGAATCCATGCAGACCTAGGGATTAAGATCTGATGTCATAGTGCCATAGGTTGCAACAATACATGCACAATGTTTGTACTATCTGTGAAGCCTGGAGCTGACCCTATGGTATTGTACATCTATATCCAGCCAACCAGAATGCCCTGGTTGTAAATTACCTACTGAACTTTATCAGATCAGCAAACAAACTCAACAATAGTTCAGTTTGACTTTGGTGGTCAGCAGCTTGATGTCCAGTGTTAATGGTAACAAGTGTTGAGTAGGAAGTCCAAGGAAAGCAAAGTTTGGTGCTGATGAGTTAGGCCAAATTTCTTGTTTTGTTGTACAACTTCAGAAAAATTCCAACAAACAAGATCTAAGTGATCACGTCGTAGTAATGAAATGCTTTGGTTTGATGAGTACTTGTAGTTTGACTGACTGTAACAGTGACTAGGATTTATTCAAAGGAAGTACATGAAAGAGTACTTGCTATTGGTTGAAATGCTTATTAAACAGGGCCTACTATTGGCTGGAAGTGTACTACACCCTCAGTAGTACATGTATACATTTGGCCAAGGTTTACTGGACAGAAAAAAGTGTGGTTTCCCTTTAAATGACATTTTTAGAAAATACTTGCTTTGTTGAAAAGTACCCCACATTTCTTATTCATTTTTTCTAATGAAGTACCAGTATCATTCTGTAAGGCTTTTAAAGTTTATTGAAAAAACACTTTATTTATTAAAAAAATGCTAGTGTTTGGCTACATTCAATTTGTCCTGAGCATAAACTGAACTCCCAAAGTAGGGACATACAAATGCAAACAGAGGGGAAGTAAAAATTGAGCAAGAGAAAATGTAACAATATATGAATTTGTCTAGGGATTCTAACTTATTGCTAAGTAAGTAGCTCTTTGAACAACTGAAGCCCAGTGCATTATCATCTATGGAGATATTTGAAGAATTGTATGCATTCAACATTGAAGAGCTTGGTGCTACTTTCACATGGGCCTATGATTTGCTGGATTGCAAGGAATTCACAATTATTTACATGTGTGACATAGTGTTGAATTTTGTTTGCATTTCAGTCAGATTTCTTGCACAAAGTAACATTTGATAAAGGCAGACTTTGAGTCAAAATCTGTTGAGAAACAAGTATTTCCTCTCCCGTGCTCAATGAATATGCCAATCACGAATGACCCATTCACTATGCATTTCAATGAATATGGTTGTGTGTCCAGTAACAAGTGGTAGCATGTTGTGATGTCACAGGATGTCCTTTGGCTTAGCTGTGATGTCAAGCCTTTACCTCTTTAACAATGCTTGTTAGTCATCTGTGGTTTCTAGGGTATTAGATTCTCTCTTACTACGTCCTTACCTGATGTCAGTGGATTGCTGACAATGATAAGAGTCCTTATATGGGAATTAATAAAGACACTAACGAACAACAAACCACATGTTCTACTGAAAGACTCTCTGTTTACCCGGCCAATGCCTAAAAAGATAGACTGTTTTGATAATAATTTCCGTTCAAAATGTTCTCGTTTTCCAATATTCATGTGGATGTTAGTATGCTACCTGTAGTTCTTTTCATCAGAGGGAATTTCTGCTGCTGTATATTTGTGGATAACATTCCTTACGTTGATGGTAGAATTTTCATTTGTACTTTATTCTGCCGTGCCACCCCTCAGGTTGATCCAAACATGGAAGCTCCTTCATGGACATCTGGTTGGTAGATACCAGAAACTTGTGCAGGACTCTTCCACTCACCACAGCAGGGGTGTACGGAGGGTACTGCTGCTGTTATGTGGAGCACAGATGAAACTAAAGCAGTTGGGCTGTGATGTCTCTGTCTCCCTCAGTGATGAATGGAAAAGGCGAATTGATGCTGATTTTCTTAAAGGTTAGCATGAAATAAATTGAGCAATCCTTAAACAGTGAGAGGCAGGATAAAGTGTAAGTATTAGGAACTTTTCTTTAATTTACTAGGAACTGATAGAGATAAGAGAACACATCAAGGTGTTTTCCCAAGATGGAATACAGTAGCCATTGGTACCTGTAAAACAGTTAATCTGTAGCTCACTATCTGTTGTCCTTGACCACAGGATGTCAGTATTACCTACAGGGCTATCCGGAGGAGGCTGTGACCTGCTGGCATGAGATAGTCTACCAGACTAAAGAGTTTCACAGTAATGGTAGTGTGGAGTTGCCTAGCAACCACTACTTTCAGACATCAAGTGATTTGGCATTGAAGCAACGGTCAGTGACACATCTATCTGTAGATTGTTTTTCTTTTACTTTTGTAAAATCTGTGACATTGGATATTGTTTTCAATCTGAAAAATAAGCCATGATGCAGTCAGCAGGAGTTCATTTAAGATGCAGTTTAAATCTAGCTCTTCCAGTTCTTTCATGCTCCTTCCATAGTTTCATTTTTACATTTTTTAGGGGGGCATGACTGATTCAGCATCTATTTTTTCCTTTGCAGACCCCTGTTTCCCACCTCTGGCTCTTCCACTCTTCTCTCTTACTCCCTCCTGGCAATCCTCTATACTCATTTAGAGCAATACAACCTTGTAGCTGCCTTGTGCCTTATTGATTCTCTGATTGAGTGTTACGTAGTCAAGACTCAAGAACATGGATGGTGTCAGAAGAAGATTGAGAGAAGATTGAATAGATTGATGAAGACCAAGGCATCATTTCTGGGCTTGGACCAAGAGGATAGAGAGGTGATATTGATGAATTGACTTGTCTTTGTGCAGCTTCCTGTGTAAACTCAAAGCGTAGGGCAGAGAAATAATAACATTGTAGAGATTTCAAGAAAGAAATGTGTCTTTTTTTCTTGCTCAAATGTTAGTTGAATACATATACATGTACATGTATTGGTTTGTTTGTGCATTTTAATTGAATAAGTAGTGCAGCCAGGTTTTGGCGTTGATCTAAGCTTTTAAATTCATTGAAATCTGCCTGTTAGATTTAAATTATCTTTAACTCAGGGCCCAGCCTTTAGTTCTTAATCTAGGACCTCTAGGACAGATCAAGTTGTTTAGTTCAAAGAGTTGGCTTTTAGAAGATAGAAAAAAGTTCTTAACAAAACTACTAAAAGTTAAATACATCCCCCTGCATCTGCTCTCTCCATTATCTGTAGGAACACCCACAGCTTCCTTGTGTTCCAGATCCAGTCCAGAGGGAGGTAGTTCAAACATTGGCACGGTTTATGTCCCTCTACTTTACCAATCATTGCCTTTTTGTCTATCCACCTTGTGCCGCTAAACCATTACCTCCGCTCCATCTGCAACCATTGGACACTGGTGAGTACATAGATAACTCTAACCTTTGCCTACTGTATAACTGTTTATACTACTAAAAAACAGTAAAGGACCACGTTTTTCTTAACTTGTAATTTTTCCAAGTACTGAATGGGGTCTTTCTTAACTTGTAATTTTTCCAAGTAATGAGTGGGGTCTAGTTCTTTTTCCAAGTACTGAATGGGGTCTTTCTTAACTTGTAATTTTTCCAAGTAATGAGTGGGGTCTAGTTCTTTCATTTTTTGTTTGTTTAGATGTTGTGGAATAGAAAACTTGAAAAATGTTTGAAAAATCAAATGTACATTTTCAGTAGTAAAATATCTCATATAAAAAAATATACACAAACTAAAAAGTGGTCCTAAACTTTTTTGAGTTGTGTATTTCACCATTGATGTCTTCTTTGTCTGCTATTGTGTCTTCAATCACTGAAGCATGACAAGTTTGAATTCTACTGTACTTGTAGTTATACATATTTCATTATTCACTCCTCACTACGATGCGCCATGGTGACATTTGGCTGTTGGTGGTTTTTTTTGTGAAAATGACATATGACTTGGTCTTGATACCTTACTTTGTTGTATTCTGATTTCAGAGTCAAGTAGAACATTACCAATCTACCATGAAAAAATCTCCAGCAGTGTTCGACAGCAGCAACTTTCAGAGATTTGGACAGCAGATACCGCTGTGGCTTTGCTGCTAGTTTGTGGTCTCTTACCTGAAGCTGTATGGTTAGCGCGAGAACTTGGTGATTGGAAGAACGCCCTCATGCTGTCAGTAATGACCAACCAACAAATGGAATTGGAGAAAGCATCCAAAAAGGATGCAAGGTCAGATGAAAAGATTAGTTTTGGTTTGTATTCCATATACAAAGTCATCAAAGTTTGTTCCTTTTCTTTGCCTCAAAGAATTCACTGCAAAGATAGGATGGACATTGAATAGACAAAGAATATTCCTCAAAGAACTTAACTGACTTATTACCTAGTTCTGAAGCTCTCTGTCTGTAGTTGGTCAAATGACAACTGCCTTTGGTCAGTTTGTTAAGCTTAACTGATCATTCGATAAGAACACAAAGTGTAGCATGTGTTTCTGAAATGTTATGAATAAGAATATTGTTCACCCTTAATTTCACAGTTCATTTCAGCCGCTGTGCCTTCCTGAGAAGCTCACCCCTCTGGTTATTGTCAAGGAAGGCATTAGTGTCATCCTCCAGACACCTCTGACTCCTCCTTCTGCAGGGGGAGGAAGTTCAGTCAAGAGAAATTCCTCATTTAATGAGAAAGATCAGAGAGGCAGTCACTCGCTGACTGTTTCCAGTGGGATGAGACGCAGTTCTTCCATGTGTAAGTATAGACATTGACTTACCATGCAGAAATTCTAAGAGGCTGTTGTTAAGATATTTATAGTTGTTTGTATGTTTCTACAGTTATGGTGGCCGTAACAGTTAA